ATGTAGTAATCTTACGTAAGTAAGTAAGGCGGTCGGGTCTGAAGTGTCCAAGAGTGACCACAATGGGGTTGTGGTCTGAGGAGGAATCAATCAGTGTGGTGATCTGGAGTTGGTCCTGGAACTGCTTGGTGACAGCGATGTCTAGGATGTCTGGTCGACTATTGGTGGCAAAATAAGTGGGGGCATCCGGACCATGGACGTCCCATGATCTAGTTTGAGACAGGTGGAGGAGCTTCCTGCCATAGGAATTTGTTGTTCTGCTATTCCAAGCAGGGCTCTTGGCGTTGAGGTCCCCGGCGAGTATGGTGGGGATGTTTTCCTCCATTAGGGTGCATAGGTCCTGTTCAGAGAAGGGGCCGCCAGGGGGAAGATATCCGCTGATAATCTTGTCTTCCACAGAAGGCCGTGTCAATATATATGGCTGTGGATTCCATTGTGGCTGGTGGAAGGTCCGACACAGCGCAATGAGAGATGTCACCCCTGTCCAGGATGAGGACACCCCCACCTCCATTTTGGTTGAATCTGGGACGGCTGTACGTTATATAGTTGGCGAAGTTGAGCGAAGTATTTAGCTTAAGCCTGGTTTCGCCTAGCAGGACAATTTCTGGTTGCTCCTCAGCGAGGATGGTCTCCAGTTCAGCTTTCCTTAGCCTGATGCCATTGGTGTTCCAAGCGATGAGTTTGAGGCTAGATGGCTTGCTCATGACTGTTGTTGGAGAGTGAGCCTGTTGAAGAGGGCCTCCTGGCTGGCCATTAGTCCTTGTATGGCGGAAGTGAGCGATGTTAGCATCAAGGTGATGTCCTGCTGGGGCTGTGGTTGGGGAGTTTGCCAGACAGAGGGGCCTTGCAGTTGTGCTGGTTGGGATGCCACTGCTTGGCTGTACGAACCTACAGTCCTCGATGGACCTAGGCTAGGGGTAGCTGCCTGTTTGGTGCGCGGTCTCTTGGGGCAGATTGGAGCATTTGCGGTGTGTGCTCCACCGCAATTGGAGCATTTAGGAGGAACGTTAGAAGCCATCGTGCATTCACTTGAATCGTGTTGGCCGGCACATTTAAGGCACTTGGGCAACGCCGTGCATCTAGCCTGGGTGTGTCCAAAAAGTTGGCATCTGTAGCATTGGCCGACGTTGCCTGAGCGGCGAAGTGCCTCAATCTTGATTTTCATGTCGCACAGTGTTTTGGTGTCATAGAAAGTAGCTTCGTTCTTTGGAAGTTTTACCAAGATTAGAGGCATGACCTTGCGCTCCGCACCTGTTTTTATTCTAATTAAGTTTTGGGGGTGGAAACCTAATTCTTTGATTTCTGTGGCTACGTCATTAATATCGATTTCCACTGGAAGGCCGCGGATTACAACTTGCAGCAGCTTGTCTTCCGGGAGCATATATGTGTGAAATTGCTCTCCGTTGGTTTGGAAGAATTTAGTTATCGCACAATAGGAATCCACGGTGTCCGGAAAGATCTTGACACCCTCTGGAATGTTGATCGCCTTGGAAAAATGCCAGCCCTTTTGTTTTAGTTCTTTGGACACCATGGTCCAACGGTCCTTGGTTCGGAGTATAATTGGTGGAATTTGTTGGCTGGTCTTGGTATTTTCCTGGTCTTGTGGTTGTTGTCCTGTAGTCTTGTTTGGTTGTGCCCTGCAGGGGGGTACATATCCTGGGTTCTCTGGAGTAACAGAGGGGGCTGGCATGTTCGCAGCAGATGTTGCTGTTTCGTTTGCCTCAGCTAATTGATCAGTGTCCATGGAGGCCTGCTGGGCATTGTGGTTGGGCTGCTCCGGTGGGATGTAGCCTGACGCAGGCTTGTCCGCAACCCGTGATGTTGTTGCTTGGGAATTGCCTATCGCCTGGGAAGGGAGGCTGGGCTGCTTTGGAGGAGTGTATCGCAGAGGTGGAAAATCAGGCAAGGATGCCGAGGTAGAGGGTTTTGGGGAACAGTTCTCTCTCCGTTTCCTTTTGCTAGGCGCATTATCCGTGTCATTATCTTCCGAAGCTTCAAGATGAGCTTTTTGGTTTTGATTTGCAACAAGCTGTGCCAATTGAATTTGTAGCTGCTCAATCTGGGCACTCTGTTTTGTTAGAAGATCGGTCTGGGCCACTAGTTGTTTGGTAAGATTATCGACTAGACCGGCAAGTCTTAAATTTTCTTCAGTCATTCGTTGTTTTTCATCCATGCCAGATTTTCGGATGGATGTTTTCTGGATCTGGGTGATCTTTTCCTGAATTGTTGGAGAGATTTTCCCGCCTGCAATTCGTTTTCCCAGGTCACTGCCTTTGTGGGCATCGTTATTTTTCTCTTCTCCTTTCTTTTTTATTTCTCTTTTTGGCTTTGTTGAGGGGTTGTTTCCACCCGTTAATGGGGATCGTGATACTTTACTGGATTTTATAAAGGGATTACCCTCGTAGTCAAATTCAAGGTGATCCAGAGAAGTTTGGGTACTTGGGAATTATAAGTCCAAATATGGAATCTCACTGGGTTTTAGTGGAGATATATTCATTTTTGCATAGAAGGCTAACAACAAATGGTAAAATAATTTTTATATTACGAAAAACTATGTTGGGGGACAGTTACAGTGTTAAACCAAAAATTTTTTTTTTTGGATAAGTCAGGTTTTTTTTTAATTGTTAACACTTTAAGAAGACGTAGTTAATCTAGCTTGGGGGCCAAAAACAGTGTAAAACACTCAAATTAGGGGATGCACGAGGTTAAAATAAGGGAAAAACTTGATTTTATATTGAAATTTGCAAAATTATAACGGAGAGCCAATGAGAAGCCAGAACCGAGTGGGCGGGGCTTGTGAGCTCGGTTGGCTTTGTTATATATAGGTGCTCTTGCAAGCAGCAGCAGCAGCAGCAGCAGCAGCAGCAGAAACCCAGTTTTCCCCCAACGAAAGCGACTCTGATTTTGAAGAAGAAGATGATGAACTAGAAATCTCCATTAATAACATCCTGAACACACCCACTATCTCTGACATCCCCTATACATCCAGCCTAGAAGTCACCGCAATAATCAAGTCCCTAAAAAACAAATCAGCACCGGGAGGAGACCAAATCTCAAATACTGCCTTAAAAAAGCTACCACAACACACCATTCAAACCACCGTCATTTTGATTAACTCCATTCTTGACACACAGCACTTCCCATCCATCTGGAAGCAGGCCGATGTTATTATGATTCCCAAGCCCCAACAAAACCCTCTATTTTCTCAAAACTTTTGACCCATCTCTCTAATCTCATCTCTGGCCAAAGTCGCTGAAAGAGTCATTAAAGAACGCATTGAAGACCACATTCTGGAAAATAACTCACTCCCCGAAGAACAATTCGGATCTCAGCTTACCACTCGACAAAACAACAGCTTCCCTGGTTGTCCACTAGTACAAGTCGCCGCTTCTCAAGTTGAACTTCGCTTTTCATTTTCAATCCACCTGAGGGCAACATTCCTTACCAGGTCCCGAGCTTTGGATCCCAGCACCGCCAGTGAGGTCGAGCGACGTCCCAACCGCCAGGTTGCACAGGTGGTCAACATCGCCGACCAACTCCACCAGCGGGGCCATGCCAGGTCCACCAGCTGGGCCGATCCAGGTCCGCCAGCAGGGCCGACCCAGGTCCACCAGCAGGGCCGCTCCAGGTCCGTCAGTGGGGCCGACGCTTACCGACGCAGCGACGCTTACCGACGCCGCGACGCTTACCGACGCCGCGACGCTTACCGACGCCGCGACGCTTACCGACGCCGCGACGCTTACCGACGCCGCGACGCTTACCGACGCCGCGACGCTTACCGACGCCGCGACGCTTACCGACGCCGCGACGCTTACCGACGCCGACCACAGAAATGCCCGATGGGGGCACACTCTCCAAAACCTGGACCCTGCAAAGAGTAATGACATTTGGAGAATAATCAGGGGTCTAAAAAACCATGAGCCACCTCAAAATCACCCCCTCCAGGGTCCAAACGGCCTCCTCTACACAGACCAGGAGAAGGCTGACTGTTTTGCTGAAGTCCTTGAGTCCCAATTCACCGACAATCCCCCCCTACCAAGGCATGTAGAGGAGGACCGCAGAATGGTGGACTTTGTAGACGAATTCCTTGCCGATGACTATCCGGAAACCATCAGGCCAATCTCTTTTGACCTGATTACTACCACCATTAAATCTCTAAAAAACAAAGTCGCTCCTGGAGAGGATAAAATTACCAACCTGGCCCTCAAACACCTACCCAGAGTTATGATCAGTAACTTAAAAGCCCTGGTAAACGGCGTATTACACACCTCTCATTTCCCCTCTTCCTGGAAAAGGGCCCAAGTGATCTAACTTCCCAAGAAGAAAAAAGCCAGGCAACACCCTGAAAATTTCAGGCCTATCTCTCTCTTGCCCTCCCTGTCAAAACTTCTGGAGAAAGCCATCAAGGTCAGACTTGATGAGGAAATTGAGTCGAAAAATCTCCTCCCAGACGACCAATTTGGTTTCAGGCCACAGCTGTCCACCGAGCTACAAATCACTCGCATAGCTGAGACTATCTCACACGGCTTTGACTTTAAACAAAAAACAGGTATGGTGCTATTAGATATCAGTAAAGCGTTCGACAGAGTGTGGCATGTTGGACTTCTCATCAAGCTCATAAACATGAAGATCTCTCCACCTCTAGTAAAGCTTATAGCATCATACCTGTCTGGCAGGACTTTTACCACCCAAGTTACCACCGCCCTCTCTCTGGCCCACCCCATACAATCAGGAGTCCCACAAGGATCTGTACTTGGACCCACTCTTTAATCTTTACTTGGCTGACCTTCCGCGCACCCCAGGACTCCTGACGGCAATGTATGCTGACGACACCGCCCTCGCTTACAAAAGTTCTAACCCTGGTCTAATCGTCCGCAAACTACAAAAGGCACTGGACAGAGTCAAGTCCTGGGCCGACAGATACAGGGTTAGGCTTGGCCGAAGGTATAAAAGGCGATGGAGGGACACCATTTAAAAAAACCAAGCATGAACTCCGCAACAGGATCAATGCTTACGGGACAGGGGATCGGAACCCCAGAACCGGTCGGGAATGGTGGTGGCAGTGCAGGCCCCACCCGATCGTCAACCAACGACTGTACGGCCCCGGGGGCAAACCAGCCCGGGTGCTCGGCAACAGCTACTGGGATACCACTGAGGAGTGATGGGACATTGACGAGAATGTTCAGCAAAATGTCAGAAGCCGTGAAGGACGGTACTAGACGGGGGAGCCTGACAACTCCAGGTAGCCCGAATGTCTCTACGGAATTAGTAAGGTGTAACTCGTTGAATACGGACAAGAAGCGAAAGAACACAGATACCTCTTTTAGTAGCGTTGAGGCGTATAAGATAAAGGAAAGTTCAGAGGTCTTTGTTATCATAGAAGCTCTAGGGGAAATAACCAGGATAGGGAAAACACTGGAGCAGCACATGGAGCAGAATACAAAGCGGGAAGTCAGGGAAGCATGTGTAAGACTGAGCAGGCAAGTGGAGATTATCAACAGAAGGATCGTTCAGAACTGGCTAGAAAATCATAGGTTCGAAAGAGTAGAAAAAATGTTGATTGACGTGGACACACAAACAGAAAACAAGGTCGAATCAGAAAAGGAGAAGATCAGTATCGAAAAAATAGACTCCTTCGATGATTATGCAGCAGTAACAGAGGAAAAGTGGAAGGATTATAGCTACTCACAAACTAGTGTTATGGTGGGAAACCCGGTAGCCACCAAAGACAGCACGACAAAAGTGGTTTTTGTTGAGAAATCCGACCCAAACATGGATAAGGGGATCCAAAAATTATTCAAGGAGCGCTGTCCGGAGTTGCTGAGCGAAAACAAATTCGATGTGGTAGAACAGCGCATATATACACGCACAGGAGGCACGGAAAAGGAGTCCAGGAAAAAAATAATCAAAGCATGGCATAACGGCACGGAGGAAGACCTGTGGAACAACCTCTTAAAAATCAAGGAGGAAACAAAGGACGACAGCGAGGTGGCTGTACACACGCTAAAAAGCGTGCGAACGGAAGCACTAAGGAGAATGATAGAATGCATTTTCCATGGAAGGAATACGAGGTTCGAAATCTATAGGCAAAAGGAAGACAGCAAGGGAGGAGAGGGGAAAAGCCTCACATACGCCCTTGTGCTGGAAAACGCGGGGAAGACATACGAAGACACAATGAAGGAAGTAAAGGAGGCAGTAGGTAGTAACCCTGCCAAAAACATAATTAGAAATATACGCAGTACCAGGGAGGGCAAAATGATCATCACGATGGACAGGGACAAAGGCGCGATGGAGGAATTACAGAAGGCGATAAAACTTAAGACGGAAATGAGGGTTAGAGCGCCTGGACAGAAGCGCAAGGAGATTATAAGAGGAATAGAGGGCACAGCAGGAAAGGATGAGGTGGAGACTGCAATAAAGGATACCGTAAAATCACTGGGAGATAAAGAATGGAACCTGAGCGAACTCAGACCAAGCTATGGCAACAATCAAACGGCAACGGTTACCGCGGACAGGGAGGTCATAAAAGCGTTGGCAGACGCGGGGCACATAAGGGTAGGTATGGTCAGGTGCGAGGTTGTAAAGAGGGTGGAGCTGACCCGATGCTACAAGTGCTGGGCTTACGACCATCGTGCAGCCGACTGCAAAGGTCCGGACCGGTCTAAACTCTGCCACAAGTGTGGAAGAGAGGGCCACAAAATTAGGGACTGCCCTAATAAGGAAGCATGCCTGCTGTGCAGCAAGGAACACCAAACCGGATCCAGCAAATGCCCAGCTTTCAACAAGGCCATAAGGAGTGCCAGAGAGGCAGAAAAGATAAAGACAGCCGAGCCACAACGGAGTTAAATTTCCTCCAATTAAACTTTGGGAGAAGGAAAGCTGCGCACGATTTAATCGAGCAGCAGGTAGGCGAGAAAGATATAGCTGTGATAATGGGACAGGAACCCAACAAAAGAGCTGTGATTAACGACAAATGTGATAATAACTGTGATAGCTTTATTAGTGTAAGAGGTAATCTGTGTATTTTAAATGTGTATAGTAGAGAGGGAGTCGTTGGGGTAGAGCTAGAGGACGTGTGGGTATATTCATGCTACTTCTCACCAAACGGAGACCTAATGGAGTACGAAAACCTGCTAGAGGACCTGGGCAACCACATAAGTAGACATAAGGGGAAGGGAAAAATTATTGCAGGAGACCTGAATGCAAAGACTGAAATGATTGGAGACCGAAACACAAACGAGAGGGGCAGACTACTAGAAGACTGGCTCATGTCCCTGGACTTGGTCGTGGTGAACGTGGGAAGCAGGCCAACGTTTGTTGGTAGAAGGGGGTCGTCAGTCATAGATTTCACGGCGGCAACACCGGGGACGGCAGCAAAAATCTTGGACTGGGCAGTCGAGGAAGACAAGGAGAAGCCGCAGCCTGGTGGCCAACTTCCTGGTGTCAGCCACGAATAATCTCTTCCAACGACGCCAAGATGGATCTTGTCGGGTCTACGTGCCGGAAGGGATGAGACGGAAGGTCCTGGAACATTTCCACACCAGCGACGCCGGGGCACACCCCGGGCAGAAGGAAACACAAAGAGGCATCGACGGACGGTTCTATTGGGACCGGATGGGGGCCCAGATCAAACGTTATGTGCAAGCTTGTCTAGTTTGCAGACAGATCAAGGGCAGCCCCGATGACGACACACTCCCCGACCAAGGCCTGGCAGATGATATCAATCGACACGCTGGGCCGCTACCGAGGAAATGGAGACGAACCAGAATACGCCGTGATTGTCGAGGTTCGGGCACTTATGAAAACCAACCCACGAGCTAAATGGTACGAACTGCTGCCCAGGGCAACAGGGATACTGCGTGGACGAGCCAACCGTGCGACAGGGGAGACACCAGCCAAGGCGTTCCTTGGTTACGAGCCCCGCCAGCCAGGAGACTGGCTCATTCCCAGAGCACAGGAGGTTCAGCAATCCAGGGAAGCCCATGATGGACAGCTCAACCGCCGAAAACAAATCTTCGCCAGGGAATATGTGGGGGACCCCGCCCAAGTTCCAGTGCAGATCCAAGTGGGGGACGAAGTTCTAATCAAGAACCAGGAAAGAAGTACCTTCGGGGACCCTTGGAAGGGCCCATTCACCGTCATCCGGAGGATTTCGCCGGTGACGTATGAAATTAGAACGGATGGCCGAGCAGTTCCACTACACGTGGACGATATTCGGCTAATACCAAGACAAGTGCAATAGTGCAAAGCAGAGTAAGTGCAGTGCCAACAAACAATGCAAGTGCGCGAAAAAATTGTACGAACATTTAACCTTTGTAAAACCAAATTTTATTGTTGTTATACCTGAATTTTTTTTAAATAAATCTTGACGGTTTGTTTAAAAAACCAGGGGGGCATGTCGAAACGGGCCTCAGTCGCTGCTCGACTCTGATTGGTCAGACGTCGGGCGAACCAGAGCACGGCTGAGGTCCGTGGTATAGTATGCATACGTTTCGGTTGTGTTTTTAAGTGCTCCTTTAAAATGTATAAATACTGTGTTAATCTTACGAAATTTACTGATTTAAACATCTTGACAATAAAGTTAAAGTGGATATGTGTCTATCTTTGGTGTGATGTCTACTAGTTCAGTGAAAAACTAATAGTTTTACTGTATTTTGTTGATTTGACATTGTAAAAACAGTATTAAAGAACCATATATAAAAAAAACTCTTAAAAATATCAAAATAAAAGTCGACGTCCTGGGTTTGAACCCGGGTCCGCTGAGGAGTGATTCCGCAACGAGAGGTGCTCTAAAGCGCGCGGCTATCGGCTACGTACTAGAATTTGTATTATAAAGTGTATTTGTTTACAAATCAATCATGAGTAATGAGAAGCCTTGTAGTAAATGCAATAAAGTACCCACGAAAGAAATTGTTAACTGCATAATATGTGGATCAATTTGGCATCCTGGATGTGCCAGACAGAAACAGGTATGTTTTATATCAGAGAAAGAAATTAAATGCTGTGAAATCAAAGATTCTTCTAAAGAACTTGATCCATCTAAAAATCCTCTTCTAGTAGAAATATTTTATCTTAAAGAAATAATAATACAAAAATATATGATTATCGATAATCAGAAGTCAAACATAAAATCCTTACAGGAACAAATTTTGTTATTAAATGTTATTAATAACTGCAAAAGCACGGCTAACAATAAAACCGAAAAATTAACTGAAAATCAACAAATAAAAAATAATACCGAAAATAAAAAAAATTAATGGTAAAAATAAAGGCTCTGATACAAAAAATATAATACCTAAAACACTAGTAGCTGAGGCTATTCTGGAAGCAAAAACAAAAACTACTTGTGACCAACTCATCAACCTTACCAACCCAAGTTATAACCAACTTGGGGCTGGCTATATGCTCCGGCAGCTCACTCGTCTGGAGGCAAAGGTCAATGGTTCGTTGATTTCTCATACTTACACTTTGGGTAGGCGCCACCGTGAATGACAGAGTAAATTAACTAATGTTCACGGTCATTAAGTTAAACTCAATATTTTGTTACTCACTCATATATTTTATCAATAAAATTTTATTCTATATGTTATATAGTTTAGGTTTCATACCCATAGCTATGGTTTACACAATGATCAAGTTAAAAAAAATAGTGATATGTTTAAAATTTAAATAAATTATACAATGACGGAAACTATCAATAAAGTTTCATAACTTACTCCTACGCTTATTGTTAAATGTTCATAATATGTTTAATGACAAAAATAAAGATAAAGTTCAATAAAAAAACCTGTGGTCCATTCGTGACTGAATGTACTATATCAGAGAAAGAAATTAAATGCTGTGAAATCAAAGATTCTTCTAAAGAACTTGATCCATCTAAAAATCCTCTTCTAGTAGAAATATTTTATCTTAAAGAAATAATAATACAAAAATATATGATTATCGATAATCAGAAGTCAAACATAAAATCCTTACAGGAACAAATTTTGTTATTAAATGTTATTAATAACTGCAAAAGCACGGCTAACAATAAAACCGAAAAATTAACTGAAAATCAACAAATAAAAAATAATACCGAAAATAAAAAAAATTAATGGTAAAAATAAAGGCTCTGATACAAAAAATATAATACCTAAAACACTAGTAGCTGAGGCTATTCTGGAAGCAAAAACAAAAACTACTTGTGACCAACTCATCAACCTTACCAACCCAAGTTATAACCAACTTGGGGCTGGCTATATGCTCCGGCAGCTCACTCGTCTGGAGGCAAAGGTCAATGGTTCGTTGATTTCTCATACTTACACTTTGGGTAGGCGCCACCGTGAATGACAGAGTAAATTAACTAATGTTCACGGTCATTAAGTTAAACTCAATATTTTGTTACTCACTCATATATTTTATCAATAAAATTTTATTCTATATGTTATATAGTTTAGGTTTCATACCCATAGCTATGGTTTACACAATGATCAAGTTAAAAAAAATAGTGATATGTTTAAAATTTAAATAAATTATACAATGACGGAAACTATCAATAAAGTTTCATAACTTACTCCTACGCTTATTGTTAAATGTTCATAATATGTTTAATGACAAAAATAAAGATAAAGTTCAATAAAAAAACCTGTGGTCCATTCGTGACTGAATGTACTCTAGTCCTGGTGTAATCGAAGTGCGCCTGGGCTCTTCTACTGTGGACACCCCAACTCGGAAACTTTCATGCCAACGTTTGACTCCGGATGGACAAGGGCCATGAAGGCAGAAACCAAATGTATGTTGTTGTAAAAAACCAGCGACTAGATGCATTCAATAAATGGTACCATTATAAATCCATAAAACCCCCAGAAGAAACCCTATTCAAAATTAAAACCAAATAAATACCCTAGTAAATAGATTAACCAAATTACTTACGGAAATTTCCGGTTTCTTCTAATAAAAAATACAAAGCTTCACAAAATACGGCCTTCGACGGTCGATGAATTTACCAGCGTTTCAATCACTTGAGGATCTACCATCCTAATTAGAAAGATGACTTAGAAAATTAAAGATAATGTTTTTTAACCTCAACATACCTGCACGTGCCTTGCTCCGCACAAAAAAACCCAGTGTAAACGCTTTTCAGCAATTATTACTCGCCGATATAAAGGACTGCCGAGCAACACACAACCATTTCAAAGCACAGCAATAATACATAATAGTCACCTTCTACAAGAGATACAGATCCTCAACGTGAGCACAGATTCTACAACGTGAGCCGCCAATCGTTCTCGTCGACTGAAGCCAACCAAGACGCTTTCAAGTCGCGCATACTCCGTGCAAATTCATATTTGTAAAATTTGAAAATTAGAAATTGTTGATATGCAACCAAGATTACCACGAAGTACTGCTAGGCGTATTACCAAATGTCAACAAAACAAATGAAGAAAATTATCGTTCAAACTGCAACGAACCGAAAACAATTACTATAAGTGAGTAACATTAATAAAAAACACGGCACAAATAAGCTAAAAACTACTTATCCTATAAATCTAATCTAAACCCCTTTCTTATATAGTAACCTAACCTATAACCATTTTAGAAGAACGAAATTACATTGACAAGTCACACACACGAAATCCACTTAAAGAATCTACAAATCTACAGATCTGACCCAAATAAATCAACAGGCACTAAAAGGTAAAATACCCCCTAGACCTGCACAAACTAAACATAATTTAACAAGGAATAAACTAACTGAGTCTGCTCTTTCAACTAAACACCAACCCAAAGTCGGTGACCAAAAGACACATAAAAATAAAGAAAACTAAATATAACAGTGACCAGAAGACACTTACAAGAAATACGAA